TCATGATGTGGGGATCTTCTCAGCAGCAGCCTGGAAGGCTTGTGAAGGTAGAGGGTGAATGAATGCAGCAGAGTGTAGAGAAATCCTGGAGGACAACCTGATGCAGTCTGCAGGAGAACTGAGACGTGGAGAAGACTTGTTTTCATCAAGATATATATATATATTTTATTTTTTTTTCTCAAAGTCAAATTAAACTGACGATTGGTCAGTGGTGAAAAGCAATACCAGGAGAAGCCTTCCAACGGGGACAGCGCCATCTGTAGGAAAAAGTAGCAAAAAAGTTTTGGCTGAAGTGGAGGAAAATCCAGACGAAAACAGGTCTGAAACAGATGATTCAGGAAAAATGGCGACATTTTAAAATAAAGAAAAATGAAATCACAACAAACAGAAATCTAGAAAAGTCGCTCGTCGTGGCGTCGACGTGTGAAACCAGCTGCCTCCGTTTAGATTCAACCCAAATTCCTCCACAAGTTGTTTCATCTGCACCATGTTCTCTCTGTAAATGTGTGTCAGCCTGTTCTCACAGTGTGAGTTTGGCTTCAGTCCCACACACACACACACAGACACACACAGACACACACAGACACACACAGACACACACACACACACACACACACACACACACACACAACTCGACTCCACAGACACCTGTGAACGCAGGTAAACGCCCGGCGTCAGTTACCATGGCGACCCCGGCTGGCGGGACGTCCTCCGAGTCTCGTCTCCCGTTTGATTGGGCTCCTGGAAACAAAAACAGACAAGTTTTAGTCACACTGGACAAGTTCCAGTAATTCTGGACAACGTTACCTTCACAGTCAGTCAGGACAATTTTGTTTGGTTTGTTTTTCTTATCGGGGACGAGTTCGAGTCATTTTGGATTTTTTTTGCTCATTTACAGCTAGATATCGGTATCGGCCGATATCAGCGGGTTTTTGTCGATACATCGTATCGGTCGATGAAGAATTTAGCCGATGATCGTCTAACGTCAGCGCCTTCATCTCTACGTCTGATATCACTGCTACTTCACAGATGTTTTTACTTCAATGGTCCTGGACTTAAATATCTTTAAATATATGTATATATACATATATATATGTAGTAAAGAAGACCATGTGGTCTAATTCTTCTGAATAGTTTCTCACAGGGCTTACTTATACTCATTTTTCAGTGTGAACAAAAATGGAATATCGACATCAGTGACATCAGAAATATTAACATCGGTATCGGCCAGAAATGCTAATATCGTGCATCACTATTTACAACAAATGTTTTGGCGTTTTGGACAAATTTGTATTGTTCACGACCAGTTTTTTTCTCATTAGGACCGAAGCTGTGCTCATGTTGGACGCGTTCAGTTTAGGTTTGAGTCACAGTGGACAGCTTCATGTGGGTTATCGTTTGAGGCATTTAGGACAAAACTACATTTATATGGGACACATTTTAGTCATTCGGGATGAATGTCTCTTTGGACAATTGACTGATTTAAGACAAGTAAAGGTAATTTTGGATGACGCCTGATGCTACAGTTGTTCAGGACAAAGTTTGTGTCATAAAAGGAAAAAATGTATTTACGTTGAACACGTTTTTGACACTTAGGACCATTTCTAGATTATGCTGGAAAGGATTAGTCATTTTAAACAAGTTTTAGTCATGAAGAACAGGTTTTGGTCCATTTAGGAAAAGTTTTTGTTGTTCTCGACACAGTTTTTGTCATTTAGGACAATTTTTAACTGAGTCCATCATCGCATTCAGCTGCAGAGTTTCAGGAACTAACCGGCGGATGAACACATCAGTGGATGCAGATCTTTGAGACAGTTTGTGTCTGAACAGCAATGATTCATTTAAAAAATCTTCTTCTCATCAAGAAGGGCGAGGATCAAAGTGAGCAGAGACACAATATGAATGTGACACATCAGACCTCAAGCTGTGCTAACGCTAACGCTAACCGGTTGGTCATGTGACCTGCAGGTCTGCGTGAAGTCCTGCTGAGTGAAAACAATCCTCTGAAATCCAGATTACTGTGGATTAAAACGACCTCACGCTGCATCAGTGTGTGTCTGTGAGCGTGTCGTTGTGTTGTCGTGTTGTGGGGACATTAATCCGGCGACACTGTGGAGACTCGACTTGTTTTTGGGGACAAACCGTGACCCAGTTAATCAGCTGGACAAGTTTTAGTCTGTCAGGACAAGTTCTGTGGAGACTCGGCTTGTTTTTGGGGACAAAACGTAGTTTCTGTACATCCGGACATTTTTATCTGAAAGGCTGAAGTTTGACTCTGATACTGAACATCCACCGAGGCGACCAATAGGACCTGTAGAAGCTGGGTCACGTGACCATGTTCCTGAGTCAAGATGTCCTCACAGCTCAAACTACAAACACAACGATTATATTTACACAACAGATATCAGAAAGCTGCTCGACTTGATGTCAGTTTGTCATCAGCTCCTGAGCTCTGGTTGGAGGTCCTGAACCTCCTCAGAGTCTCTGTCATGGTCCCGTTGCTGCTAAACTCCCACAATGCTCTCTGCTGCCACCATGAGCTGTAGTCTGAGTGACGTCTCCTCTGGTCTCTACAGGATTAAACAGTGGGAGGCTCCACCTGGTGGAACAACCAGGTACTGCAGCTGGTCTACGATATTCAAAGTGTGTATTATCTAGAAAAATTACATCAGGTAGCAGCAGATACTAAAAACTTAAAGACTCAGCAAACGACCTGATCGTGACATCTGTTTACCATATATGGCCATATCGGACATCGGGCCACATATCGGAAAAGAATATGTTAATTAAGTCAACACACCTGAAACAGGGCAACATAGCTAAAAAAAATATGCAATTTAGATCAAGATATCCGAAATAAGGCCAAGCGTCCAAAATATAGCTGCGATTTAGGGCGACACATTCAATATAGCTACAATCTACAATGAGGTCGACATATCCATGATAATATGCAAATTAGGTACATATACTCTAAATAAGATTATATATTAATATGCTAATTAGGGGCCCGTTTCTAGACATTAATATGCAAATTAGGTTGCTATATCTGAAATAAGGAAGCATATCTAATCAGGGCAACATATCTGAAATGAATATGTAAATTAGGTAGATTTTTTTTTTAAATAAGGCGAAGTATCTCAGAGGAGTTTGTCTGAAAATGACAATTAAGTTGACATTTACATAATGAATATGCAAATTAGGTCGCTGTATTCAAAGTACGATGAAAATAATGCGC